TTACTCCACTACTGAAACATCCTAACATCCCCATGTCAACAAAACTCAAAATGATCAACACCATATTCATCCCAACACTCACCTATCAATGCCATGGACCACGAACAAGACATTAGAGCAAAGAATTACAACATGTGAAATGCGATGCCTTAGAAAAGCAGTAAACAAGACACGGCGACACAGACTAAACCACCAGGGGTCTTGTAGTTCGTTTTAAAGCAAGTTATATAATTTCTTCCTCGTATTCATTTCCTATGTGTCTATGAACAACTGGTTGCACTTATGTCACATAAATGGTAGCACACAGGAAGACTGGTTGCACTTATGCCACTTAAATTTAAATGGTTGCACACAGGAAGAATGGTTGCATACAGGAAGAATGGTTGCACTTATGCCACATAAATGGTTGCACACAGGAAGAATGGTTGTACTTATGTCACTTAAATGGTTGCACACAGTAAGAATGGTTGCACACAGGAAGAATGGTTGCACCAAGGGTTAAACAACATTGGTTGCACTGAGGGGTCGCACACAAGACGAAAAAGCCAACTTGTGTTTCTTCGGATTGAACACCAAGCTGAAGGATCTTCAAAACTAACGTGAAGACTGTTCTACTGTGCGGTTCAGAGACATGGAGGCTCACAGCATCAGCAGCAAGGAAACTGCAGAGCTTCAAAAATGGATGTCAAAGAAGGGTAGTGGGGATCACGTGGTACGATCGAGTCACAAATGTTCAACTGTGGGATTAAGAACAAGCCAAAGACCAGTAGAGGAAGACATACAGGTGAAGAAATGGAAATGAATTGGGCACACCCTGAGGAGACCCCCGGCAAGCATCATTAGACAGGCTTTGACGTGGAATCCACAAGGAAAACGTAAGAAAAGAAGACCAAATTGACATAGAGGCGAGCGGTACAAGCGGAAATGAAAAAGGCGGGGACATCATGGAAACAGCTGGAGAAAGATATACAGGACAGGCTTTGCTGGAGAAATATTGTTGATGGCCTGTGCTCCACTGGGAGTTAAAAAGGGCAAGAGAGAGAGAGAGAGAGAGAG